AGCGCGAGGGAGTTGACTTCTTTCAGACCTTCGCACCTACCCCGAAGATGACCACTCTTCGGGTGTTACTACACGTAGCAGCACAGAGAGACTACGAGTTACACTCTCTTGACTTCTCCACTGCTTTCCTTCAGGGCAGCCTACACGAGGAGGTCTGGTTGCGTCGTCCCTCGGCCTTCACTGGCACCTTCCCTCCTGGGACCCAGTGGAGGCTGAGGCGACCTGTTTACGGTCTTCGCCAGGCCCCTCGTGAGTGGCACGACACTCTGCGTTCTACCCTCTCTGACCTTGGGTTCCAGCCGTCTTCTGCCGACCCGTCGCTGTTCGTTCGTCGTGGCTCCACACCGTTCTTTGTTCTGGTTTACGTCGACGACCTCGTTTTCGCCACTCCGGACAGGGTTGCTTTGGCAGACGTGAAGTCCGAACTGCAGAAGAGACACACGTGCACTGATCTTGGTGAACTGCGCCACTACCTTGGCCTGCAGATCACCAGGGACAGAGCCGCTCGCACCATTACACTCTCACAGTCACACATGGTGCAGCAGGTCCTTCAGCGGTTCGGGCTTCAGCACTCCACCGTACAGCGCACACCTCTAGCTGTTGACCACAGACTCACTGGTCCCTTTCCTGACGAGCCGTTTGAGCCTAGTGGTCCCTACGCAGAGCTTGTGGGTTGCCTCATGTACCTGATGACTTGTACTCGCCCGGACCTCGCCTTCCCTCTCAGCATCCTTGCGCGCTTTGTTGCGCCAGGGAGACACCGTCCTGTTCACTGGACGGCAGCTGTGAGGGTGGCGAAGTACCTAGCGACTACATCAGGCGTGGGGCTAGTTCTTGGAGGGCAGCAGTCTGTCGTACTCACTGGTCACTGTGACTCCTCTTACGCTGACGACGCTGAGACTCACAGGTCTACTCAGGGGTACTGTTTCAGTCTGGGTTCTGGAGCTGTTTCCTGGCGTTCCACGCGCTCCTCTTCTGTCTCGACCTCTACAGCTGAGGCTGAGATTTACGCTGGTGCCATGGCGGCACAGGAGTTGCGGTGGTTGACCTTCTTGCTCACTGACCTTGGTGAGCGGCCGAGCTCTGCACCGACCTTGTTTACTGACAACAAGGCGTCGATCCTCCTCTGTCGTGAGCCGCGACTGGAGAGCAGAGTGAAGCACATTCACATCAGGTACTTTCTTCTGCGAGAGTTGCAGAGGCGTGGACAGGCTCGCTTCGAGTTCGTAGAGTCCGAGGCCAACACTGCAGACATCTTCACCAAGGCGCTTCCGCCTTGTGACCACCAGAGGTGTTGTGTGCAGTTAGGCCTTGTTGACACAGGTTCTAGTCATGCGTAGACTTGAGTTTATTGCCTGCTTCGTCTGTACATCTACTATATATACTTGTGATCTCTTGGACTGGCCTTGTGGCCACTGTTGCTTGTGCTCAGAGTGTGTGGTGACGTTGTGATCCACCCTGAGCTTTGTTTTCTTTTGGACTGGTCTTGTGACCGTACTCTTTTTGTTTTTGCTAGACACCCCTCACTTAGGCTATGGGGGTGTGTCAAATGTTGTAGCCTGTAGTGAGGTTTGTCTTAGGGGGTACAGAAGTTAGGGTTTGTCATATGTACCCCAACCAACATCAATGCAAGACTCATTCCTCATTCTGACAGAAACTAGGCTAAGCCGTTTGAAAATGAAAGACGTGGGTGGAGGGAAATGACATCCAGCCCACGTTTTGTACTCCAAAACGGGCGTTTAGCGCGGTTCGCCGATGACCATTGCTACATTACAAGCCGCTTCGCTTTCAAAATACGGTACAAAATTTTGAAAAGTGTTACAGTTATTTAAAATATTCATTATTGTTTCTTCACCAAGGTTTTCAGCATGCATGTACGGTAGTAGTGAAGTGCCAAGTATAGGCCATATGCCACTCTTACAGGGTACTGGTACCACCACAGAGCACAGCTCATGCATGGAGTTGTGTTCTGCATTTAGCCAACTCTGTCTAATGGTACAAGGCTGGTGATTTTTTTTATCTTAGGCATCACATGACTCACAGCCTCAGGTCTAAATCTATTTCCTGGGCTTCCACTTGCTTCCTTTCCTCCATCGACTCTTTTGAGTACCGCCCAGTGAGTTTCAGCTGGCCTCGCACAGGCGACTTCTGACCGTGTTTGCCGCCTTGAGCACCAGCGCTCTTGGTTACACCGAGCGAGTCTTTCGCATGCCGAGGAGAATGCTCCGGCCTTTTTGGGCCCTTCCAGTGCTTCCGCATGTGACCGCCTAGTGCCTGCCCAGACAAGAAAATTCTTCCACACTGGGGACATCTCTTGCTCTGGGATGATCTTTCCTGCTGCCCAAAGCCAAAACCATCCACAAGCTCACCACTGCTCATGTCTTCCCTTCCACCAATGTTGATCCTGGTTACCTCGTTAGCTGCTCGAAGCGCCATGGCAAGCGATTCACTGTAACAACTCCTCTCTGCTGCTTTTGTGGGCCCTGGTACAGCCAGGAATGCGGGCAGCGACGATGTTGACACGTCAGCTGGCGAGGAGAGACGCGTCAGCGACGCGACGCGGCCGGATGGAGAGGACGAAAGGCTTCCTCCGGAACTGACAGCTCCGGGAATGTTTTCCCAAGAATTGCGCTGAGTGTGCAAGACCAGGTGTTTCCGGAGGGAGGCATCACCCCCACCTTCCGGCGGCAAGGAAACCAGCTTGCGATTTGGAATCTCATTCTGCCAGCAGTCCGCCTGACCTGCCACGTTGGATGATGCGATTGGGGTCCTCTCGCATCTCCCTGACGCTGCATTCGCCGCGTGAAGCACGCTCGCTATCAGCGCAGCTGCTGCTACCGCGTTCTGCTGCTGTTGGGTCAGCGAATCGGCCGGTGGTGACTGGCACGCGTCGCGTGCGGAGACCGACGGTGCTAGCGACGGCGGCGCCATGGGTCTCCCAGGTGGAGGTGGAGCGGCCGTCAGAGAGCCCGCGATTGCCGGTGAAAACTCGTCAGTCGTCTCAGCGCGGAGTAGTAGGCCAACCGATTGGTCGTCAGGCAGCCGAGGCGCGGTAGCGTCGAAGCAACTGGATGCCGCCCCGCCGGTTTCGGTCTCTCCATAAGACGCTGATGCGGCGGCGGCGGCGGTGGCGGAGGAAACCTTCTCGACGGAGCTGGCGCGATCGTGAGAGGACGCCGGCAGCAGCGGTTGGAGAAAAGGCGTCGTACCTATCACCGCGACACGCGGCGTGGCCGTGGCAGCGGCTGTAACAACTGTGGCGGCTGTAGCGTCTGTTGACGAGTTTTTCAAGCCGAGGAGAAGCTCGAAGAGCGGAGAGTCCGTGGTGCGGTCGACGAGAGCCATGGCTCCGCCGTGAGTCACGATCGAAAGCGCAGTTCTAGCGGGGTAGGCGTGGAGGAACGTGTGGGAGTCCACGGTAGACAGCGTCTGGCGCGCGATAGAGAATGTTGATTGTGGTCACTGAGAATGACGTGCTCAGGACGAACAACAGAGCGAGGTGGCTCATAGATAAAACTTCAATGTTCTCGCCAGATAGCGTAGCGGTGCAAGCCTTGTCATACAAAACCCGGCGATTATCTCGCGAGGAGATCATTTGGAGCGAGGAAAGCGAGAACAAGTTGAAGGACGCCATGTTGAGGCTGTCAGGTTCTGTCTGTATGCCGGTGAAATTGGCCCTAGTGAAGTTGGCGGGGAGAGGCCAGTGGCATTAGAGGTGGAGGCAGTGTCATGGATTACTGTATTTGTGTGTGTAGCGGCCACATGTGAGGGAGTGGATAGCGAGTGAGCAGCTAGCAACACTCTGATGGCTTGGCAGGCGTTGATAAAGAATCTTGGTGTCCGCCCCACCCCTCCCCCCGCAACCATCAATTCCACCAGAACAGTTTGTATGTGAGTTGTTTTCATGGCAGGAAGGACGGTGTACCAGAATAGATACAGCCGTCAACTCAATGCAGAACATTCGTTACACCTGATGCTCACCCCATGCGCGCGAATTTGCCTTGCGCCGGATGGATACGCTGCACCCGAGGTTGTTTCCCCAGCTTCATGCACCTACATTACAAGCGCGTCAAGCAGAAGAGACCGAAGTCAAGCAGAAGAGACTGAAGTCAAAAAAGGTAACTAGGTAGCAGGGTCTTGTTTATAAGCACATGCGAATTCTTTTTAGCTAGCTGCGAATTGACGAACTTAAGCGAATTGCCTCGTTACAGCTTATACACCCCCTTCACAAGGCAACCGGGAGGGGCTCAAACAGGCATCATGTGTACAAGCGAAACCGTGTGCGAACGAAATGCGCCAGAATTCTGAAGTTTACTGTAGTGAGGAAACTGAAATTCGCTTGGCGGTGGCGGACTCTGTACCATACAAAATCCCACTCCGCTCCACACCTTCCGCACATCCCTTCTAGGCTCAGGCCATGGGTAGCCAGGCTGTTAAAGGATCTGCACAACGTGTGTGACTTGGCGTCAAGGATTGGGCTGGGGTGGTCGAACACTTTTCACAGTTCGGACTGAGTCACTGAGCTGGCGCGGCGCTTGTTGTGCACAGCCCAACAGTTCGGATTGGAGATTTGACCAGGCAGCGGGCAACCCAACTCGAGTTTAGAAAACAAGGACAGTATAGATAATAACGTCATTAAACAATTCAGACAAAAATGCATCCTAATATAGTTGCCGAGAAAACATTTGCTACAACTTTCTGCAAAAAATTGTTCCCAACGGTAACAAGTACAGTACACGACTGCCCCATTAACAGAGGAGCATTGCCTCGGGATTGCTGCAGAAAGGACACGTCAAGTGTCCGGGCGAACTCAGTCGTGGATTTGTAGGTGCATTAGAAATGTATTCTTTGAAGGGTGTTCCGACGTTGGCATCAGAGCTCGGACGAATGACGCCCTTGCAAGAAACTAGACTACCCTAACCAATTTCTTAATGCACTAGGGAAAGGACTAAAAAAAAAAGGAAGAGCGATGGAAGAGGCCCCTTGGATCATGTTCACCATCATGCACTTTCCATGCTCTTGTGATGCTTGGAGCCCCTAAAGCTACGATTCACACCATCTTCCTCATCCTGAGTGCCGTTCTCCTCCCGCAACCGACGGCGCGAAGGCACCTGAACAGAATTTGTTGCTCCCAAAGAGCTGGCTGGAGGATTACCATCGTCCTGTGCAATCTGCTTTTCGCAAGAAGCAGGGACCCCATGCCTTTCAAATGCTTCGTTGATGTTTGCGACGCGCGGTTGAGGCGAGCCCAAGTGTTGCTGGAGCTGTTTGGGCACAGTGACGCAGTGCAACACAAATACCGTACATGCACGAAAAGCGTGAAACAAAAGCATGAAGTGTTAGCATGGAATGATAGCAGGAAACGATGAAACGTAACAGTACTCAGCATGGCATAACCATGTGTCACACCCACCAGCAGCACTCTGCAACACACCCTGAGAGTCCACTATGAAACGGGCCCCTGGCTTCATGCTTCCTTCCCCGCCTACCTCTCTGCCTGTCCTCCTCGACCTCCCGCTCAGATATGCTTTCGACAGCCCCTCTTGCGGCGCCATGTGGCGCTGTGCCACGTCATCCGCCTCCATCACCCTCTCCCACTCCTTTGATTCCTCCTGCCAGCAGATCAACACATGCGCCATCAATGCCATGCCATCCCATGCCATGCCATGCCATGCCATCCATGAAGGCATGTCGACATAAGGAACACACCACACAGATGAACCAGCATCATAAAGGCACTCAGCGTTGCAGGAATCACCAACATAGACACACCAGCGATGCCGCAGGTGCCATAGAAGCTGCAATCATGCAACCCTAGGCACACCCAAACAATGCCCAGACTCCCACCTCTCTCTTGTGCCATGCTCCAGAGATCACCTCTAAACCCCTCTCAACACCTGTACTATGCACCATTCATTTCCCAGCAGAAACTCACCAAGCTCAGATTTCCAGCAGCAACAGCATCTGAAAGGGCCTTGCCTCTCTCCTTGGCAGACGTGCCTCCCCCTTGACTGGACCTCATTGCTCCACCCGCCCCACACCCCTCCGCCCCACCTACACTCCTGCTTGCTGCCCCGCCTCCGTTGCCTACCACCCGTGCTTCTCCCTCTCGACCTGCCCCGCCCAGCACTCGTCTCAGGGCACCAAGGCCCTGCCCCAGCACATTCCTTAGCACGCGCTGCTGCTGCTGCGATTGCTGCTGCTGCTGCTCCTGTGATTGCTGCTGTGATTGCTGCTGTGATTGCTGCTGTGATTGCTGCTGCTGCGACTGCTGCTGTTGCTCCTGCTGTGACTGCTGTTGGTGGGTGGGGTTTGGTGGCGGCTGCTGCTGCTGCTCTTGTTCCTTCTGTTGCACGTCTCTATCCTCTCCATCTCCCCCCACCACCCCTCCCTGCCCCCCAGCATCCACTGACCTTTCCCCGTCTCCCTCGCCTGCTAGCCTCCCTAAGCCTGCCAGCACACCACCCAAGCCTCCCAGCCCTCCCAGCAGCGCCTCAAGCCCCCCTGCTTGCACCCCCACCCCCCCGGCAGGTATGCCCATCCCCCCTGCCTGTGCAGCCACCCCCCCTGCCTGTGCAGCCACCCCCCCTGCCTGTGCAGCCACCCCCCCTGCCTGTGCACCCGGGACCCCTTCTTGTGTGCCCATCCCCCTCGCTATGCTTCCCCCCTGCGCCTGCACCTCCCCCCCTGCGCCCGCCCCTGGCAGCAGCTGGGGGCGCATGACTATGGTGGGGAACGGGCCAGACCCGCCCACCAGTGCTACAGTCGCAGGGAACTGTAGCAGCGGCTGCTGCCCTGCAAACCATGCCTGCTCCTGCTGCTCCTGCTGCTGCTGCTGCTGCTGTTGTGGCGATTGCTCTTGCTGCTCCTCCCGTTGCTGCAGTTCCTGTACCTGCGCTTCCTGCTGCCCTCTCTCCTCCCTCCCCGCACCCTGCCCCTCCTGCCGCTCTCGCCTCTCCTGCATCTCAGATTCGTAATCTGCCCGCCGCTGCTGCACCTCCTGCCCCTGCTGCCCCTGCTGCCCCTGCTGCCCCTGCGACTGCTGCTCCCTCTGCGCTCTCTGCCCGCGGCCCTGCATGTGGGAGTTGTATTCAGCCAGAACCTGCTGCATGTGGAACAGCCGTGCTGCTGCCCTCACCTGCTCCACCAGTGACCCCACCTGCCCCTGCTGCTGCCCCTGCTGCTGCCCCTGCACCTGCTGCCCCTGCCCCTGCTGCTGCCCCTGCCCCTGCTGCTGCTCCTGCTGCCCCCCAGCCTGTCCTTGTGGCTCCTGTTGCCCCTGCTGCTGCTGTCCATGGGCAGCAGTAGCAGTGGAAACAGCAGCAGCAGCAGCAGGAGCATCAGGAGGAGTTGCAGCATCGGTGGCGTTGTCAGCTGGAGGGCGGGCATGGGCAGCAGGGCGAGAGGGGGCGGAGCGAGGCGGATGTGCGGCGAAACCAGGAACGCCAAAGGGCCCCACGTGCACCCCGCCTGGGAGAGAGAAGCTTGCAACAGGCGCGGCCACTGATGCTGATGGCGCTGCTGCTGCTCCTGTGCCTGCCGCAGCAGCTGCTGCGGTGCGTCCCACTGCTGCTGCAGATTGCTGCTGGCCTCCGAACAGAGGAAATCTGATGCTCCCCCCCATTCCTCCCCCACCTTCTCCGCGCCCTCGCTCCAACCCCCCACCTCTCGCCCCCTCCCTGCCAGCCACACTTGGTGCCTGTGCCTGCAAGTGCATCTGCTGCAGCAACGGCAATTGCTGGCGGAGGGGAGGCATGGCAGGAGAGAGAGAGGGGGGCAGTGACAGAAAAAGGAAGCAAGATGAGAGCAGGTGGAAGGCGATTGAGAGAAGCCAGATTGCAGGCGAGGGATGAGCTTGGGCAGAATGCAGTAGGCAGATTGTCAGAAACTATAAGCCAAGAACGATCAGCCAAGAACGATCAGCCAAGAACGATCAGCCAAGAACAATCAGCCAAGAACGATCAGCCAAGAACGATCAGCCAAGAACGATCAGCCAAGAACGATCAGCCAAGAACGATCAGCCAAGAACGATCAGCCAAGAACGATCAGCCAAGAACAATCAGCCAAGAACGATCAGCCAAGAACGATCAGCCAAGAACGATCAGCCAAGAACGATCAGCCAAGAACAATCAGCCAAGAACGATCAGCCAAGAACGATCAGCCAAGAACGATCAGCCAAGAACAATCAGCCAAGAACGATCAGCCAAGAACGATCAGCCAAGAACGATCAGCCAAGAACGATCAGCCAAGAACGATCAGCCAAGAACAATCAGCCAAGAACGATCAGCCAAGAACGATCAGCCAAGAACGATCAGCCAAGAACAATCAGCCAAGAACGATCAGCCAAGAACGATCAGCCAAGAACGATCAGCCAAGAACAATCAGCCAAGAACGATCAGCCAAGAACAATCAGCCAAGAACGATCAGCCAAGAACAATCAGCCAAGAACAATCAGCCACCCATAACTCACAAAACCCTCCCCTCACCTCCCTACCCCCCTCACATCCATACCCCTCCCCCCCAGAACCCAGAACCCAGAACCCAGAAGTCAGGACCCGTGGGAAGTGACCCCTGTGAGCGCACATGGGTGAAGAGAGCGCTGGGCCCTCGGGCAGTGATGAAGACCGGCGGCACCGGGGACAGGCGCGGGCCTTGCTGCTGCTGCCCGCTGCTCGTACCAGCAGCAGCAGTGGCAGCAGCACCAGCTGTAGTGCCACCAGCAGCAGTAACGCCAAAGGAAGGAGGGCGAGCAGGGGCAGGCCAGTGCAGGGCGCGGCAGAGGTGGGAGAGTTCGAGCAGCAAGGGCGCCATGAGGGACACACACCGCACCATGCCCTCCACTGCCTCTCTCATCGCCGCCTCTGCTACTGCTTCTAGTTCTCCTGCTTCTCCTCCTGCTCCTGCTCGCGCCCCTGCTGATCCTGCTGCCCCTCCTGCTTCTGGTGTGCCTGTTGCTCCTGAATCAGTCACAGCAGAAGCAGCAGCAGCACCCACAGGCGGCAAGTGCTCCAGCTGCTCTGCAAGGTTCTGCTTGGGAATAGCATGGGTTATGGGAGGAAGGATTGCACAGAATACACAAGCGGCAATGGTATTGAAGAACAGAGGTGGCATGACTCATGCGTGCCTGATCAGATGGAGTGCTGGTCAACTGACAATCACGGTCGCATAAAGCATAAAGCACAAGCAACGAAACCCGGAACCAAGAGGGCGGAAGGGCAGGAACTGACGAGCAGGGAGGAGGAGAGGGGGCCAGTGAGGAGGCTGTTGGAGCGCCTGAGGGTGGCTGCCAGGCGCTGCAGCTGTGGCAGCTCCCTCCTTGCTGTCGCTGCTGCTGTCGCTGCCACTGCCGCTGCTGCTAAATTCACTGGGATGGGCGAACAGAGGCAGGGGAGGGGAAGAAGCATAGTCGCAAGAGTACAGGAGAAATGGCGGCTTAAAGCCTTTAATAACTTTTTAGGCTCCTAATAAATCAAGCAAGGCTTGAACCCCTCAACTGCAGTGCAGTGCAGTGGAGTGCAGTGCAGTGCAGTGCAGTGCAGTGCAGTGCAGTGCAGTGCAGTGCAGTGCAGTGCCAGAGCTAAGACCCCAAGCAACCCACAAAAGGTATGAATGAGCAATGCTATGCAGCTACCTAGTATGCAACCATGAGCTGCTCTCACCTGAAGGCCTCAGCTGACCCTCCACGCGTGATATATACTCGTCCACAGTGGAAAGGGCGTCCCTTCTCCCTGCATGCCCCGCTCCTTGCTGCTGCTGCTGCTGCTGCTGCTGCCGTGCACCCCGCTCCTCCTGCTCCTCCCCATGGTGCCCCAGGCCCCCCACCCCCCCTGGTCCCATGCCGCCAAGAGCCATCATGAGAGGCAGGCCAGCAACGCCCATGCTGCCGCCCACACCCATGCTGCCGCCCATGGGGATGGGGAGGCCACCCAGGGGAATGCCCACTGGCACAGCCACGCCACCTGGCGCTGCCATGCCCATCACTGATGGCATGCCCATGCCTGCTCCCATGCCTGTTCGCATGCCTCCCATGCCCGGTCCTCCCATACCCATGCCCGGCCTTGCCATGCCAATGGGCACGTCAAAGCCATTCACAGGCAGCCACGTGTCCATGTGAATTTGCACCTCTGGCACCCCGCCCCCTCTACCCTCTGCCCCTTCTGCTCCCTCCCTCCGTTCCCCAGCGTCACCCCCGCCTTGCTCCATCCCCGCTCTCTGCTCCCCTGCTTGCTCTTCTTCCGCCCTTCCTCCCCCATCCCTGCCTGCACCTCCATCCGAAGTCGCAGCAGCAGCATCGGTGGTCTGAGCGCCGTGGGCAGCATTACCGTGTGCAGCCGGGGAGGGGCGTCTGAGAGCCTGAGTGGCTCGCATCTGGGGGGCACATGGCACATGGCACAAGGCACATGGCACATGGCACATGGCACATGGCACATGGCACATGGCACATGGCACATGGCACATGGCACATGGCACATGGCACATGGCACAAGGCACATGGCACATGGCACATGGCACATGGCACATGGCACATGGCACATGGCACAAGGCAGCGCAACGCAAGGTGAATGAGCAGCAGACAGGTGTGGAAGAGAGAGCACAAAGGAGAGGCAGACTTGAGCTGAGTTCATTTGTCGGTTGAACAAGGTTTCAATGGGATGGTACTTGGAGAAGGCGTCTTGGCAGGCATGCATGCATGGAGACATGAAACGACACACGGCGTACCGAGATGGGAGCAATGTCAATCGTGACATTCGCACTGGGACCTGCTGCCTCGCTTCCACCCCCCCCCACTCGCCCACCCCCTGCTCCCCCTCCTCCCATGCCCCCCCCCAAAACTACCCCCATGCCTCCCCCCATGCCGTCCCCCATGCCCCCCAGCCCCAAGGCCCCGAGGCCGATGGATGACAGCACACCCGACACGATCTGATGGGTGCAGACGGGCGGAAGGGAGGAGAGCAGGAGGGACGGGCGGAAGGGAGGCTGAGTAGGAGGAGTGGGACAGGCACGAGTTGAGAGGGGATGGACGGAAAGGGGAGGCGCGGGATGGGGGAAACTGGAGGGCGGGGATGGGATGATGAAAGAGGGAGGGGAAAGGGGAGGGGAGTGGGAAAGGGAAAGGAGGGATTGACTGGGAGGAAGGATGGCGGAAAGCGATCCGATGGGAATGGGACGAGATGACCACGAAGCAGTCACGGGCATCGCATGATTGCTCTGTATCTGACAGCCCTCTCAGTGCACCCCACCCACCCACACACCCGTGCACCCATGCACCCATCCACGCACCCGCCCACCCACCATCCATGCACCCACCCACACACCATCCACGCACCCACGCACACACCAACCCACCCACCCACGTACCTGTTCACCCACCCACTCACCCACACACCCACCCACGCACCCACCCATACCTGGTTCAAGTCCGGAAGGCCCTGCGAGCCGTCCGATTGAAGGTTGAACGTGCCCAGATGAACGGTTCCAGAGGCAGGCAGGCCGCCAATCTGCACATGACCCAAGCCTCCCCCCGGAACGATGCGTATCCCGCCCATACCGCCGCCGCTGCCCCTCTCTCCCCCTGCTCCGCCCCTCCCCTGTCCCCCGCGCAACAGCCTTGCCCTTCCGCGAATCCCCTCCCCCTCCGCGCCCCCGCGCGCGCCATGCGCGGAAGAAGGGGAGGAGTCCCCCGTGAGGCGCGAGACCAGGTGCACCACGTGGCCCGCGCTGATGCCTGGGGAAGGAAAAGCGGGGAAACGGCGGAAGGGGAGGGGAGGGGAGTACGGGGAAGGGGAACAAGCGGAACAAGAGGAACGAGGCGCAGGAGGGGGTTGGCCATCTAAATGTGTGCCATGCGTAGCCTAGACACAAGAGAACAGCCTTTCCAGCCAGCAGCGAGCCTGACAAGCGCGAAGTAACAAAGAAAAATATTGGGAAAGGCATGCTACAAGAATCCGGGGGGAAGGGGGTTAAAACGAGAGAGTCGGGAGTAAAGGGGGGTAAGGCGGGAGAATCCAGGGTGAACGGGGGTACGACGAGGAAATCGGGGGTGAAGGGGGGTAAGACGAGAGAAGGAGAGGTGAAGGGGGATAAGACGAACCGTAGGATGCGAGGGTCTGATCGTCCTTAAGAACCTTCCCTCGGAAGACCAATCGCTGGCTGCCAGCTGGAACCTGCACCTGCGTGGATATCTTTTCCTTCAACGCGCTCACGAGCAGCTGCGGGGGGAGTGGAGGGCGAGAGGCGAGGCGACGGGGGAGAGAGAGAGGTGGGGAGAGGCGAGGCGAGAGAGAGAGAGGCGAGACGAGGGAGAGAGAGGCAGACGAGGGAGAGAGAGGCGAGACGAGGGAGAGAGAGGCGAGACGAGGGAGAGAGAGGCGAGACGAGGGAGAGAGGGGAGGTGTGTGAGAGAGAGAGGAGGGATCAAGAGACAGGGAGAAACGACTGGAATAACAGCGCAACGGTTAGGCGTTACAAAATAAACATACAAGGCGCTAATCGAGGACAGAGAAACGCGAGGCTGGGGAGGATGCACGACCAGCAGGCTCGAGAAGAAAAGTTGAAGATGTCAGCAACGGTACTAGCTGAAAGGAGTTGACCAAGTTACTGCAGTGCAGGAGTTGATGAAGTTTAACTCTTGTTGAACAAATCTGAACTCTAAAGACACGTCTCGATAATAAAAGATGACAATTTAACGACGTCTGATAACCGGTCTACGTCGGACTAAAGGTTTGCCACCGTCCAACATCCTAGGCCGTGACTCGCGTCGATCTGACAAGTGCGGATCGGAAATTTAAAAGAACAATCTCTGCAGCTGCTCCTGGGACCCACAGAGAGCGATCACTCTACACTAGCACGCACCGCGACGAACACCCTACACTAGCACGCGCCGTCAGTAACTCCCTACGCTAGCACGCACCGCGAGATCCACGCGGACATCGTAAGTCCGGTTATCGAGAGTCTTGATCGTTATTCCGACTTCGCTCCGACTTGCGCCGTCAGGAGGAGGCAATTCCACATCCATGGCGAGCAGGACTCCACGAAGAAACCCTAATCGCAAAATCTGACTAATAAGTCGCACAGGAGGACACTAACGAAGGTTTCAGGCTGTCTGTTACTGAATTCAGACAGAACTCGAGGCCCTGATTTGAAGACGAGAGCTGTACCGCACAGAACCGCATAATCACGGTGCAACTTCTAGGGAAGCGGACCAGGAATTGCAGAACCAATCACTGCGTTGACGTGCGTGACTGTGATCAGAGCAACACGACCGACACGTGTACGTATGAGCGGCGGCACCCTCACAAAAGCTTCTATCACGCGTTCCAGTGTACACAGAAGCTTCTGGTTGTAAACTTCTGACAAAGAAAGCATTTTCATTCCACAAGGTAGGTAAACCTGGCTAGAGAGGAAACTACTGTAAGCAGCTAGTTTACAGAATCTTGTTTCTTATGTCCTCTAGCTTCTTGAGAATCTCTCCTGGCGTGCGATCAAGCTCTTCCGCAATCTTCTTTTGCAGCTCCAGCGAAAGTGATGGAAATTGCTCGCACAAGTCCCCATCAATTACATCCTGGAAGGAAGGCATAAACACCAAAACATGGAAGCAGAACAGCAAAAGTAGAGCCATTAACCAATTTCGTTTGGGAACGTCCAGGCTACATGGTAGACGAAAGGAGAAGTTGGCAAGAAGAAAGGTGAGTGCAGCAGCGAAGCAGGGTGGCTGACCTTGACAGGGAAGTAGGCGGATCGGTAGGCGACGTGCTCGCGGCCGGCGAGGGGAGGGTGCTCCTGGCGCAGGTGCATCTCGAGGTGCGAGAAGAAATCCACGTCCTCCCGTGAGACAAAGGGCAGCAGCGCCCCCACCCCCCCCAGCATCGTGCTGTAGATGACGCACTCGCTGCCACCTGAGGGAGAGAGAGGGGGAGAGAGGAAGACAGGCGGGGAAAGCAGGATGCGAAGTGAGGCGGAGAGAGGAAGCAGGACACAAGAGGGTGTTGCAGGGAAATCAGCAAGTGAGAAGCGATTCAGGTTGGGACAACCAACGGAATGATAAACACCCGAGGGCAAGCAGTACAGTAAGGAAGAGCTAGTTCGAAGGCCAGGCTGTGCAGCGCTCACCTGGAATGAGCGAGGTCTTTTGCATGGCTGTGACGATGTCACCCACGTGGAACTGAATCACCTGGTGGGGCAGACAGATCATTGGGTTTTCGGGCAAGGGTTGGAAGGAGGGGAGGTGCGTGAGGGAAGACATGCGGCACAGAGACAGGGAAGGAACAGCACAGGGATACCGGCACAAGCGCACTCTCACAGCAGAGCACCACAGGACAGCAGCGCATCGAGACATGCAGCAAGGGAAGCAGACAAGGAGAAACGCAACGAAGCCACACAACAGCAATCCGACGCCAACCTGCTCAAGCTTGTTGGGTGCGCCATTGAGCTGCCCTCCTCCTACAGCGTCCCACTTGACACGCCCGCCCGTTTGGTCCTCCTCAATCTCTTCAGAGATCTCCCCCGGCAGGCGCACGAGACACACGTTGCCAAACTTGTCCCCGCCCGCCATGGTGTCAAAGTCGATGCGCAGCGCCGAGGTCAGCCAGCGCGGCGTGACGTCGTCTGCAAAGACGTACAGCTGGTTCTCCTGCCGGCTGTGCTGCACGTAGTGGAACGACTGGGGGATTGAGGGAGGGTTGGGGGAAAAAGGGGGCGAGAGAGTGAGGATGAGAAAGGAAAAGCGTTTCAGTCACCCATGTCTTTTGAGGCGCCTCAAAACTCACCCATGTCAGTTTTGCACATTTCCTGGTGAAAGGATACCACTCAATCACCTCATGGCCCTCTGCCCCCCACCCACCTCACCCCTTCACCAACATCCCCCCTGCACCCACACACCTCCCCCAACCACTCCCCCACCTCCCTGCATCCCAACTCACCTCCTGCACGTCGCCCACGTAGATGCGATCGCCGCACGCGTGGATGCTCACGATCGCATGCGGAAACTGCTTGTTCTCGCACTTCCTCAGCAGCTTCTTCTTCCCAAGGTCATATATCCTCAACACATTCCCCACCCCCACCAAAAGCCTTCCATGGAACGCACACAGGGCAGTGGGCACCCCTCCTTCCACCGGCGTCTTATGCACCAACTCCAGCTCCCTCCCGTCCTCTCCCTTAAACTTATACACATGGAGGAACCCTCCCAGAAGGTTCCTCTTGGGCCAGAACTGGAGGGATTTCGCCGTGCCGACTACCAGGTACTGCCCTGCTGCCGCCCCGCCCTCGGTTTTATCCGCGTGGAAATTGACCGTGCAGAGCGAGAAGGCTGCCTCGCTGTCTGAGAGCTCCATGAGGCATGTCGTCTCGCCTGCCTTGGGGTTGATCACCCGGATGCACGACGCCCATTTCGACGGGACCGTTTTCGGGTACCCGAATTGCTCGTCCGGTAGCGGGTCTTTGGCTTTCTCGTCCTCCTCCTCTTCCTCCTCTTCCTCCTCCTCTTCCATCCCCTCCTCTCCGTCTTCCCCTCGGGCCCCTCTCGCTGCCCTCGCAGCCTCTTTCCTCTCTCGCCTCTCCTCCTCCATCCGCTCTGCAGCTCCCGTCACTTCAATCGCTTCCTTCCGCAGCTCCTCCCTCTCTTCCGCCGAAAAAGCGCCCTGGTCGCTCTCTATAGTAACAATGTTCTTATAACGGGGATGCAGTACAGCCTTGCGCGGGGTGTACCTTAGCGGAATAACCGTCTGGTTAAAAACCTCTCCAAGGCGTTCCACCGTGAAAACCCGCAGCGTTTCCCCTGCCACCGCCACAATACCCTCTGGACACTGATCCGATGCAAACGGAGCAGCATACTCTAAAGCCTCATAGGACAGAGGTGTCAAATGGAAGCTTCCCAGAAGTGAGTACCCGAGCCACGGGCGGCTGGAAAGGCACAGCATGGCTCGCCGCTCCCTCAGCTGGGCACCGAAAAGTTTCGGCGCGCGCAGCCCGAGGAAGCGCGTGCGCGAATCGGAAAGCTGCCCGGAGTTTTTATCCACCTCTGTGCGGAGCAACACACCGTTCTGCAGGCCGGCGTTGAGGAAGAGGCTGGACGGCATGTGGGCGGCAGCAGAGGAGGAGGAGGCGGCGGCTGCGGTGGAGGAGGGGCCATCTGTGCCAGGCCCTGTGGGGACGTCGAGGAAGAGAAGGGACTCTGGTGGGGCAGATACCGCCTGCACACTTAGCACCTGGTAGATGCATGGGGGGAGGGAGATGGAGATGTGCAGACGGAGAGTGAGAGAAGAGCATTCTGATTAGAGTGCTGCAGGTGGAGTCACGCGCCTCAACAGCCAGCCCATGATGGCCCTGCCTGGCCACAGTGATGGCAGCAATGCCTGCAACAACGCCTTACCCCTTAACCCCCCAACCCAACACCCTAAACCCTGCACCCAAAGCTCTCTTCCCCCCTGCTCACCTGCATGTTCTCATCGGGGTCCAGAGAGAGGATCCGGACGGTCGAGTCGTACGATCCCACGGCCAGGAAGCGCGCTCGCTGGCGGCCCTCGGGGATTGGGGCGACGTCAAGGCAGGCAACGTCCCCCGGCATGTCCTTCTTGCCCATCTCCACCATCTGCCCCCTCACGTCCATCTCAAAGTGAACCAGCTCGCCGCCTGATAGGGCGATTACCACCTGGTGTTGGGGGCGAAAGGAAAGGGAATGGGGTGAGGGAAGGGGGGATGGTTGGAGGGAGGAGCGGAGGCATGTCCTTCTTGCCCATCTCCACCATCTGCCCCCTCACGTCCATCTCAAAATGCACCAACTCGCCTCCCGATAGGGCGATTACGACCTGGATGGCGGAGGAGGAGGGGACCGTTGGAGGGCGGGAGATGTGCAGGAATGAGGACAGGTCAGAATAAGCAGACGTTTACAGCCCTTTCACCTCGTAGTTGCTACATACAGCCGACTGCAATTCATTAATCAACGGGTCCAGCTGACTGTGACTGACCTGGAAGCGGTTGCAGCCGACTTTGACGATGCTCTTCTTGCCGGGTGTCTTCCACTCGTTGATGCGCCCGTCCGCCCTGATGTGCCTAATGCCGCTTGGGTGCACCTGCGGATGGAATGTGATGGGATGGTGACGGGATGTGATGATGGGATGTGATGGGATGGTGACGGGATGTGATGATGGGATGTGATGGGATGGTGACGGGATGTGATGATGGGATGTGATGGGATGGTGACGGGATGTGATGGGATGTGATGGATGTGATGATAGGATGTGATGAGATGTGATGGGATGTGATGGTGCACGCAGCACAGAGAGACATGGATTTTGAGGTGAATCAGAAGCAAAACAATCCACACTGTCCCCCAGCCACCGCACTGACCTGCATGAGCGAATCCTCCCCCAGCAGCGACACGGCGAGCGAGGGCGTGGTGTCCAGGAATCCGCCGTCGCTCACTTCCTCCACCGTGTCGCCAATGCTGAGCACGAGCGTGGCGCTGACGAACGGCCACCTCACCACGATGTACGCGTCGAAATCGCATACAAAACAGCCAACCCTGCCCTGCCCCCATCCCACCACCTCACCTGCACGAGCGAGTCCTCTCCCAAGAAAGACACAGCGAGGGATGGAGTCATGTCCAGAAACCCGCTGTCACTAACTTCCTCCACGGTGTCGCCAATGCTGAGCACGAGGGGCGCGTTGATGAAAGACACCACGATGTACGCGTCAAACTCGTCCTGCGCACTCTTGCGCACCGTCCACACCGCGCTCTCCTAGTTGCTTCCTCCCACCTTACCTGCCATCACAGCAACCCACCCTGCCCCCCAGCCACCGCGCTAACCTGCATGAGCGAGTCCTCTCCCAAGAGAGACACGGCGAGTGAGGGAGTGGTGTCCAGGAACCCGGAATCGCTGACTTCCTCAACCGTGTCGCCGATGCTGAGCACGAGCGTGGCATTCACAAACGACACCACGATGTACGCGTCGAACTCGTCCTGCGCGCTCTTGCGCACCGTCCACACCGCACTCGGCACGCCTGGTAACTGCGTTACTGCCATCTCAGTGACTGCGAGCCCCGGGCGGAGAATGCGCAGGGAGGAGCGCGGGCCGCGACCGCAGAGCGCGAAGACCTGCGGGGTCTCCTCGTCGAAGAGGTTGGAGACCTTGAGGTCGAGCAGAGGCATCAGCGACTCCACCTCGTCGATCTGGGGCGAGTGACGGAGAGGAGGGAGAGCGGGGAGAAGGGAGAGAGTCAGGATGGAGAATGGGAGGACTGCGGAGGGGAGCGGGAGGAGGGAGAGCGGGAGGAGTGAGAGCAGGAGGGGGAGCAGGAGGAGGGAGAACGGTAGGAGCGAGAGCAGGAGGGGGAGCAGGAGGGAGAACGCGGGGGCTTGCTGAGGGGCGAAGACAGTTTGCATGCCCACATGAAACACAATGCACCTCTGGCCCTCCTTGAACCCAATTCCCACACCCTGCCCCTCAACTTACCAAAATGAAAAAGATTTAAAAAAACATACAAACAGAGCAAACGTGAACCAGCGGAGTCGCGCTGACCTGAACCAGGTTCTTGAGGCGGCGCGGGTGGAAGAAGACGGGCTGAAACCCCTCGTCTGTCTCCATGAGCGTGGCGGAGCTCGACTCCACCTCCTCGTCGTCCCCGATGCCCTGGAAGCGGTACAGCGCGTGGTTGCCGAACTCCGACGCCGCGAACAGGAACCCCGCGCGCAGCACGCACAGCCCCGCGCCCACCGGGATCGTGTCGAAGTACTTAATCTTCAGCTCCGTCACGCGGTCCGTGTCCTTGGGGTCGTGCTCTAGGGTAACCCTAAACACGTCGCCGTATTCGGACTGGAGGAGGAAAAAGTACATCGATTTCTGCTTGTGCGTCGCGGCCGCGACGATCAGCACGCCGCGCTCCGCGGGGAGGTCGGCGCGGCGCGGAATGACGGCGCGCACGTCCGGGTGGCCCTGGTTCTTGTAAATCACGAAATTCTCGGCGCACACCAGCACGCCAGACGGCCCGTCCGCGCCGCCCGGGACCGCAACGAGGAGATTCGCGCCGTTGTCGACCGGCTCGGCCCATTTCCGCACGACGTGGTTCAGGCCCAGATCAAGCTCGTAGAAGGTCAGCTGCTTCTGCGCGTCGGCTGCTGCTTGGCCTGACGGGTCCTGATCGGCATCGGCGTAATCGAGCTCTATGGCGGCGAAAATGGGGTTGTCGAATCCGCAGTCCACGCCCACGACGGAGAAGACTAGGGTTTGCGATTTGTGCGCTTCTAACGGGGATGAGATCGTGAGGCGCGCCGAGCTGTCGCGGTTCAGAACGTACACGAACTTCTGCTTCTCGCAGGCTGCGATCATGACCGCTCGTCCTTTCGGATCCACGGCCAGGAATTGACCAGGGACGATCCGGCGACATCCCGACTTGCCATAGGTCTCCTGGTGTATCTTATCGAAGAGATTCTTCTCTCGGTTGTACTCCAATATAACAATTCGGCCAGAATCTGATCCCACGACAATGAGGTCCTTAGAGGAGCCGGTGAGCCGGAATTGGACGAGCGAGCGAATCTCGCCAAATACTTCCACCGCGTACAGGCTCTGCAGTTTTCCCGCGGCATCTGGCCGTAATAGCTCGAGAATCTTCCCTCTCGCGACCACTATTTCCTGCTCCTTCGTCCCTGAGAAGTTGCCGAATATGACGTGACTTATGCCCGTCGCCCGTTGGAGCGTAAGATTATAGAGATACATGGCTTCTACGGACTAGGGGCATAAGACGAGGGACAGGAAATGCGGTCCCGAAGTGAAAATGCGGTCACCTTTTGAGTCGGCTATATTTTTTACACATTCCCGAAGTAGACAAGCTAGATTAAGAAACTATATTACTTACACATTCTCTCGTTTCGTAGCCGCGTAGCGCAGTGGATTAGCGCGTTGGACTTCGGATCCAAAGGTCGCGGGTTCGATCCCCGTCGTGGTTGAGTTTTTCTGCCTCGGGATTTGATTGTTTTTTCCCTTGTTGCATCCAATCACACCACGCTTTCTTGAATTCCTCCCAACTTCCCAGCAATTCTTGAGAATCCCGTTTTTGCTGGTGTGCTGTTTCTTGGGATCACCCCCTTCATTCTTGGGAACATCTTCAGCTGCTCATCGTTAGTCCACCTCCCCGTCGTTGCCAGCAGTGTCGGCCTGCCTTGCAAGGCTGGCCGCGCTTGACGCGCGGCATGAGTCTCGTCAGGATGCCACCCACTCGAGGTACGTAGGTTTCTTGCAGTCATATTAGGTCGGTTAGTTCTAATCCTAAGCTGGTGAATCCAGTTTTTCCGTGATAGTCGGTTGTGGTCTCATTGCTTGACGGTTCACGCGTCGGATAAGGCACACTGAAGCGTTGCACAGGAGCAATCAAGACCATCGTGGCCGTTGGTATCACGTTCGCGATCGCAACAGTGTAGCCACGAAGTCATCTCACCCTTGTAGCGATCTGCCCTACTTCTGCATCTTCGACACGTGGTGACCCATGTCCGGTCGAGTTCAACCCAGCCATTCATTCCCGTCCCGATTGATTCTCTTTCAGATGAGATCGATGGGGAGGACGAGACGCTAGGGCTGCGATCCGGTCAGGTGAGTCGCGCATTCGCTCAGGTGAGTCGCGCATTCGCTCAGGTGAGTCGCGCATCCGCTCAGGTGAGTCGCGCATCCGCTCAGGTGGCCCGCTCAGGTGAGTCGCGCATCCGCTCAGGTGAGTCGCGCATCCGCTCAGGTGAGTCGCGCATCCGCTCAGGTGAGTCGCGCATCCGCTCAGGTGAGTCGCGCATTCGCTCAGGTGAGTCGCGCATCCGCTCCCGTCAGTCAGCGCACTATTACGTCAATGCTTCCATCTTTGCGTTGCTTATGTCTCGACCCTCCTAACATTCTTCATTCGCTCGTACGCAAGTATCAACGAACATTTTCTTTCGTCGCGCTCTCTTCCCCAGCCGACCGATCAGCGCGGGCCGCTCTGCTCGTACGTGGCGGCAACGGCGCTGCTGCTGCTGGGCTGCGGGGTGGGGCTCGGCATCGGCGCGCTGCTCTCGTTGCTCTTCCCCGCCTCCTCGCTCCGCTTCATCTCCACCAACGCTTCCCCTGACGCGCTGGCGGACGCTCAGTCGCAACTGTCGTTCCTGGTCGTGGGCGACTGGGGTCGCAACGGCGACTACAACCAATCCATCGTCGCGGAATCGGTATGTACGTACACCCAGGAAGTCCGTTCTCGCGGAATTGATATGTGAAGAACTAGAACGCTCTGCCAATGGCGGGCCACTGAACCAGTCCCTGCTCGCGGGATTGATATGTCATGCTTCTAGACAGTTGCCTCGGTAGTGGTAAATACGAGGGACAACTTCCACGAGGGACGATTTTGTGAATCTCAAGTGCCATGTCAAGCTGGTCGTGACTTGTATCTTGCATTCTCTCTCCTCCCCATGCATCAGATGGGCGAGGTGGCAGCGGCAATAGACAGCAGCTTCGTGGTGGCGTCCACGGGGGATACCTTCTACGATGACGGGATGCAGGACATCGTTCAGTGTGACTTGTGTCTTGTGGTTCTCCCCCCGTGCCTCTCAGATGGGCGAGGTGGCAGCGGCAATAGACAGCAGCTTCGTGGTGTCGACAGGAGACAACTTCTATGACGATGGGCTGCAGGACATCAATGATCCCAACTTCGCCTCCTCCTTCTCTGAGATCTACCAGGCGCCCAGCCTGCAGACACAGTGGTACGCAGGTACGCCCTCCCGTTTTAGCTCCTGCTCTCCTGCTGCTGGTAGTGTTGGGCAACCACGACTACCACCGCACCCTAGATGGGCTGCAGGACATCAATGACCCCAACTTCGCCTCCTCCTCCTCTGAAATCTACCAAGCGCCCAGTTTGCAGACGCAGAGTGGTCTGCAGGTATGTGACAACAACACAGACGCATTGGTATGCAGGTATGCGACAACAACACAGACGCATTGGTATGCAGGTACGGCCCCCAATGCACTCCCTCTAATGCCGCTGTCAGTGCTGGGCAATCACACCTATTACCGCACCGTGAGATGCCAGCAGCCAGGCAATCACACCTATCACCTCACCGTGAGATGCCAGCAGCCAGGCAATCACATCCCCCACTCCCCCACCTTCCCTCCCTTCCCCTCCCACCCTGTTCCCACGTTCTCCTCCGCCGCTCCTGCACTGGCAGTGCTGGGCAACCATGACTAGCACCGCAACCCCGACGCCAGCAGTCACGCACTCACGTCCCACCTCCCCATTTCACCCCGCAATCGCACCCCCCATTCCCCCCGTGTTCCTACCGCCGGCAGTGCTGGGGAACCACGACTACCACCGCAACCCCGACGCGCAGACGGACCCGGCGCTGACACCCCACCCTCCCCCACCTCCCCCTTTTCGCCCCACTTCCTCCTCTCCTCTTATCACTGTCCGCCCACCGGCAGTGCTGGGGAACCACGACTACCACCGCAACCCCGACGCGGAGACGGACCCGGCGCTGAGGCGGAGGGACCCACGGTGGCGCTGTGAGAAGACCTACACTGTCGTGCGCGACACCTGCCCCAAGTTCCGCTACTGTGAGCTGTGGAAGGGTTGCCGTGCCTGCCCCAGGTTTCTTTCCTCCAGTCAGAGCTGCCTGCTCCAAGGCGCTGCGCTGTGAGCAGGGGAAGGAATTATTGTGCCCTTGAAGCCATGAGCCGGGCCAGGCGCCACCTTTTTCCTTGCACATTTCTGTCCCCCACTGCTCATGCAACCCCTCATCTCGCACTTCTCCCTTCCTCTTCTCTTCACCCTGTAATCAGCTCAGTCTCCCTCTCTCCCCGTATCTCCCCTCCCCTCCTGTCCCCGCTGTCCCCACCAAATGGCCCTCTCAGTCGAGTGCAACCCGCTGCTGCAGCTGTTTTTCATTGACACGTCCCCCCTGGTGGCGGGGTACTGGCACGGCAAGCCACACGAGTTTGAGAAGCTCAACTTCACCGGCCTCCCAGATGCCTCCCTCACTCTGCACTACCAGCTCACGGTGACTATTTTTGAGACGTCTCAAAAACCGCCTCCCTCACCCTGCACTACCAACCAACTCACGGTGCTGTCTGCCTCTTACTCTCCTCTTCTCACCTCTTCGTGTCCCATCTCCTACGCTCTCCTTGGTCATCTGAATATACTGCCTCTACAGCTTCTTGTTGCTTGTCTCTCATCCATCCTGCCTGCTCCGGCAAATCTTCCGGCCTCACGCATGCCTGTCGCACCTTCTCCAACCTGCCCCGCCCTCCGTCCTCCTCAGTTGCTGCGTGCAGCGTTGGCATCGTCAACTGCCGCGTGGAAGGTGGTGGTTGGCCATCATCCCATCCACAGCACAGGCAGCCACGGCAACACGCCTGAGCTGATCAAGTTCCTCTACCCGCTTCTCAAGGTGCCTCTCTCTCCCTCATTTTCGTCTCCCCCTTGTTCCGTCTGCCTCCTTCTACCTCACCTGCACGTCAAACCTGCACCTCAAACCTGCACCTCAAACCTGCACGTCAAACCTGCACCCCAAACCTGCACCTCAAACCTGCACCTCAAACCTGCACCTCAAACCTGCACGTCAAACCTGCACCTCAAACCTGCACCTCCAACCTGCACCTCAAACCTGCACCCCTCTCTTTGTGCATCCCTCACTTTTTGGTAGACACCTTTTGATGCTCTTTCTTCCCTCATGCGCACCTCTTGAAGGAAAGCATTCAGTTCGTCTCTGCTCCTCCTCTCCGCGCCCCCTTGCCATCTCGCCGTGCGTGAACTGCCTGTGTTATTGTCGATATTCTAAATGCAGCTGACCTTGCCTCTGCTCCCTTTGCGACTCCCTCTACACCTCCTTGTGTGTTCAATGTGTGCTCACTGTGCCTGCTGTGCCTGCTGTGCCTGCTGTGTCTGCACCACCTGCAGCGCTACAACGTGGACATATACATGAACGGCCACGACCACAACCTGGAGCTTTACAAGGACGTCAACAGGTGTGCCCCGTCACACAATGCTGTGCTGGAGGGGAGGAGGGGGGTGGGTGAGGGACAGGGCGTGTTTTCGAGCTCCCATGGTGCAGCTTTCAGCTTTCGGCCAAAAGCTGCCATTTCTTTTGACTCTTATTTTGTTTCCTGTCCGTTGTTTCCTGGTACCGTATGTGCAGTGGTATGTTCTTTGTCACAAGCGGGGGTGGATCTAAGGTGGACCGGAATCGCACAGTAACCGGTGACAACAATTCCATGTTCTATCATTCTCGACAGGGCTTTGTCTCTGCAAGTGTAACGCAGCAATCCTTCACTATAAAATTCCATGACATGTTTGGTGCTAGCCTCTATACACTGACAACCTCCAAGGACCCTCAGTGATAAAAGCCATATACACCGTGCCCTTGCCATAAATCACCCTATGACCATTTTTGGCTTAAGGGATCGGACATTCAGCAGCTTTGTTGCATTTTTTAGTGTCAATCTCATGAGACTGTTACTCAGTGGTTGCAGCGCATATGGTAGACTAGATTTTCCGCTATCGACAGATTGAGAAGTGCAAGCCACTCACTTCCCTTGTTGTCAATTCCACAAAAAGAAATCAGGCTAGAGCGCATCTTCTCTTCATACCACTAGCTTGTGTCCCAATTCAGTCCGTACTTTGCATGCTATGCTAATGTTCATAGGTATGTCAGGTGATGGAATTACTTTGTGATGGACTATGAGATTGTCATGCGACGTGATTATGAATTCCAATGCCAATGACTTTCTCCACCATATGTTTGAACATTTGAACATACTGTAACTGTACTCTCTGGTTTGCGCTGCAGTGGCTCGTATGTGCATTTGTACAGTCGAATGATATTATTTTATTTAATAATTTGTTCAGGGACGTATCGCGCACATGACAGCGCGCTGTCCTCGAAGGCGGAAAGGTGTCAGTGAGATGTGCACATCATGGTTACCCTTCGCATAAGCTACTCTTGGTCGCTCTACGTTCTCCGTATTGGCGAAAACATTCGACTCCTCGTCGAACTATTCTAGCCGCGCCGCTGACTCCATCACGTTCCGCAAGTTCCCCCCCATTTTGCTGAAAGCGCTGGCAGGCGTTCCCCCGCCTGTCAGCACATTGCCGTGGTGCGGCGTCCCCCTAGGAGTTGCCCAACTCACTTGTCACGTGTCTTGTCACTTGTCCCTTCGCCTCCCCTCCCCTCCTCCTTCCGCTCCAGCGGCATCTCTCCAACCAGGCAATCCTGGAAACCTTCCTGCAATCCTTCGCATCCCTCCCAGTTTCTCAGCTCAATCAGCAAGTTTCCTCAGACACTCCCCTCTGCAGATTCATTGTCGGCCTTTTGTTTTAGCTCGGCGTTTTCATGGCCATGGCTTCCTTCGCGTCGCCTCGTCCTTAGTGGTGCTTAATCACGGAGTATCTGAGTAGCACTAATACCGGTTATTGATATTCTCCTTGAACACGCCTGGCTGTAGGCAACTTCGTGCTTCCTGGTGCGTTCTTACGGAATCGACACGACATAGTAGAAACACGAAGCTGATTGTTGGTGAACGATCTGCTCGAGTTATCATATAGCATGGGATCTAAGATTTTCAGTAACCTGACGTTCTAGCCATTCTATACCGCCTACCATAGTGGATCTGAAGCATCATGGTAGATTGAAGACTCGCGGATCGAAGAGTTTCTTACTGTCGTGGATATGAGCGGTTATGTCGGATTGAGTGTCTTCGCAAAAGGACGTCGCTGCGACATGGAGGCTGCGACGCCACTGCGAAAAGGTTATTTCTCGCGTCCAAGTCGTTTTTTCAGCGCAAATCACTCGCCACGCGACACGTGCTGATATGGTGGATAGAAGACTAGCGGATTGAAGTGTTTTATTAACGGCTGCGACGTTGCTGCTAGCTATTTCTCTCGACCACGTCGTTTCTTCTGTGCATCTTGCTAGCGGCGCGAGACTCGCTGTTTGCGACGCTTCATGTGGCTACTTGCGACGTAGACCTGCCGCGTGCGACGCTCGACCTGCTACTTGCGACGCTCGACCAACCATTTGCGACGCTCGACCTGCTAATTGAGACGTTTTACCTGCTACCCCGCGGCGCTCGACCTGCTACTCGAGACACGGATCCTAGAGGCCGTCGCGGATTCAAGAGGCCCTCGCGGATCGAAAGGGACGGACCTTTCTCTTAAGATACCGTCGCGGATCCAAGAGGCCGTCGCAGATTGAAGAGGCCGTCGCAGATTGAAGAGGCCGTCGCAAATTGAAGAGGCCGTCGCGGATTGAAGAGGTCGTCGCGGATTGAAGAGGCCGTCGCGGATTGAAGAGGCCGTCGCGGATCGAAATGGACCTACTTGCGTGTCGCCAGGTGAAGCTGCGTTCCCTCCAAGCTAGTAATGACCCTCCCTTCTCTGCAAGCTCATGACGATGTTTCCTGCGTCCGTCCAGACTTTTTCCGTTTTCATTTCTTGTTCTTATTTTATTATCTCAATAAAATACTTGGTTTCAATTGCAGGGATTGAAGATGTCAGATTTATATGACATAGTTGCTGTAGGCTATAGTGGGGTAGCACATATGGGGTACAGGGTTTCTAGGGTTGTATTTGTACCCAATCTTTCCTTAGTCATTTCATTCCTGTTCACTTATTTCACATGGTATAGAGCGGGTCCTTCCTAAGGACCGTTTTTTTAGGGCCCACCGAAGCGCGCCCCGAGGCGCGCATTTTTTTAGCGACCCCTCGGGTCGCCATTTCCCTCGCGACCCCGCTGCCCCTCCTGATCGCGGCCCCGCCGCCTGCTTGACGCGGCCCCGCCACCTCCACTGACGCGGCCCCGCCGCCGGCTCTGACGCGGCCCTGCCGCCCGCTACGTCGCGGCCCCGCCGCCTGCTTGACGCGGCCCCGCCGCCTCCACTGACGCGGCCCCGCCGCCGGCACTGACGCAGCCCGGCCGGCCCGCCGCTGCACCTGACGGCCCCGCCGCTGCACCTGCCGGCCCGCCGCTGCACCCTACGGCCCGCCGCTGCACACTTCGGCCCGCCGCCTCACCTGACGGCCCCGCCGCTGCGCCTGCCGGCCCGCCGCTGCACCCTACGGCCCGCCGCTGCACCCAGCGGCCCGCCACTTAACCTGCCGGCCCGCCGCTGCACCCTACGGCCAGCCGCTGCACCCAGCGGCCCGCCGCTTCACCTGACGGCCCCGCCGCTGCACCTACCGGCCCGCCGCTGCACCCTACGGCCCCGCCGCTGCACCTGCCGGCTCGCCGCTGCACCGGTCGACCCGCCGCTGCACCTGCCGGCCCGCAGCTGCACCTGACGGCCCCGCCCCTGCATCTCCCGGCCGAGCCGCCCCAGCAGCAGAGCCGCCCCAACAGCCGAGCCGCCCCAGCCGCCGAGCCGCCCCAGCAGCCGAGCCGCCCCAGCAGCCGAGCCGCCCCAGCAGCCGAGCCGCCCCAGCAGCCGAGCCGCCCCAGCAGCCGAGCCGCCCCAGCGGCAGTGTCGCCCGAGCCGCCCGAGCCGCTGAGCCGCCCGCGCCGCCCGAGCCCTCCCTGCACTGCCCTGTCTGGTGAGCACTGAGCTTTACTCTGCGCACTGCCCTCTCTCTACTGCTGTCATGGCTACCCCCAGTGTCCTCGCCTTTGACGCTGAGGGCAGAGCCATTGACTTTGACGTGTGGGTAGACGACCTACTGTTTTTCCCCCAGTGCGACAGAGCTGACGGCCTCTCTCTCTTTGATCTCACTTCTGGTGCCTCTCCCGCCCCTGCTGCTACTAAGGATGCCACTGTTCGCTCACAGTGGGCCACACGCGATGTTGCTGCACGTCTTGCTGTGCGTCGCCACCTCCCTCCCGCTGAGCGTGCGCACTTTGGGTCGTACAAGAGTGCTAAGACCTTGTACGACGCCGTTATCGCACGCTACTCCACCCCTGCCACTGCTGCACTGAGCCGCCTCATGCTACCGTACCTCTTTCCCGACCTTGCTGCTTTTGCCACAGTCGCCGACCTCATTACCCACCTACGCACTAGTGACGCTCGCTTCCGCGCTGCGCTTCCTGCTGAGTTCTGCGCCAAGAACCCCCCCCCCCAGTACTTCACTCTCTACTACATTGTCACCCGCCTCCCTGACTCCCTTCGCGGAGTCCGGGACGACCTACTCGCAGTCTGCCCCACCACTCTCACTGTCGAGATCCTCGAGAAGTCCCTCCTCGCAGCCGAGAAGAGCATTCTCGCTGTAGGGGCCTCTCGTGGTGACCCGCGCACCCCCATCTTTGAGGGGTGTTCCCCCTCCCCCCTCCTGCCCTCTGTCGCCTCTGCTGCTACGGCCGACCTTGTTGGTTTTGAGTCGGTCGGAGCGGCGTCTGCCCCCAGCGGGAGACGTTGCTCTGGCAAGAGCAAGGGGGGCAGGGGCGGTGGTGGAGGCGGCGGGGGCGGTGGAGGCGGAGGTAGAGGCAGCGGCGGAGGTGAGGGTGGTAGCGGGAGTAGTGGCGGGAGTGGAGGTGTCGGCGGAGGCAGTGGAGGCGGGGGCGGCAGCGGCGGTGGTAGTGGGGGTGGAGGCGGAGGCGGCGGTGGCGGCGGCGACGGTGGGAGTGGCGGTGGCGGTGGAGGTGGTGGCGGCGGCGGCGGAGGAGGCGGCGGAGGTCGTGGCGCGCCGAGGAGGAGTGGCTCCGGTGGTGGTCAGCGCCAGCAGCAGCAGCGTGGTCAGAAGACCCTCTCCCCGCAGCACCTCCGTGAGTGGTACTCTGCGCGTCAGCGGGGTGGGGGTACTGGTCCGTGCACTTACGTCCTGCGCACTGGCGACCGTGCGGGTGAGCAGTGTGGTGGTCCACACTCCGCCCAGCGTTGCTTCGGCCGCCTGACTGACGCTTGGCGCCGCCAGTTTCCTGACGCCTCTGAGATCCCTCGCTGGGACCAGCTGTCTAGGGCTGGAGTAGCTATCTTTGATCTTGACTTTGATGCTATTCTTGCTGCTATGTATGCTGTGACTATTAGTGAGGATGGTGACTGTTACCGGTGTTTCCCGCCCGACCCGAGCATTGGTACTGCGGCTCTAGGTGCTGTTGAGGCTGCTGCTCCAGGTGCTGGTGAGGCTGTTGCTCTAGGTGCCAGTGAGTCTGAGTCCTCAGGTGCTGGTGAGTCTGCTCTCTCAGGTACTGTGTCGACTTCACCCTCTCTCACTTTCACTCTTGACTCCGGGGCGTCTCGCTCCTTCTTTCGAGACCGCACCACACTCACGCCGCTTAGTCGGCCAGTGGCGGTCTCCTTGGCAGACCCCTCCGGGGGTCCTGTTCTGGCTCGCTACTCCACTGTCCTGCCGTGCCCTGCGGTCCCGTCTGGCGCCCTGTCCGGTCTCTACCTCCCCTCGTTCTCTACGAACTTGG